AAAAAACTTCAGAGAGTAGTTATTGATAAATGATAATAAAATGTTGACCCCGCCTCCGTTATCGGTATACTCTGGCGGGATACCAGTAAGAAAAGAATGATAGGTGAGAATGAAAACAGGTCCAGTGACGAATGCACTTAGAGTTCAACGTGATAGTTATACAGAGAAGCTGTGTGGTCGACCTGGCGGGGTTTATTGCCTGCAATGGGACTGATAGCTCCAGTTATTAACAATTACGAGTATTTACCCCTCAACATAATAAAATAAATAAGTTTTCTTTATCTCTTTAATCTTATCTTCTTTGCATGCTCAATATTAGCTGAATATGTACTATTTATGTACTGTATTAGAACTTTGTTATTACTTATTCAAAGTAAAAATAAAGTATGTTTTTTTGTTTTTATTTTCATACAACTTAGAATGGCAAACAAGCTGACGGCCCACCTGATGGAAAGTGGTAACTGTCGCTTATAGACATGAGCAGTACCATGGACAAAACAGAGTATACTATTTCGCCCATGATACCCCCCATGCGTTGCCATTCCTGAGGATTCAGGTGCTATTCCTCTGTACCCTGTAAATTCACGCCATATCCCACCCTTCAAACTGAAACACAGCCATGCAAACACAACTGCTTCACGGTTGAAACACGAATGGGACAGAGGTACGTAAGCAATTGACTTTTGTACAAAGTCTCCCTCTGGTAAACATCGCTAGTTTAACCGTTAATATAATTTAACAGTAATCATCACACTTCGATTATTTCGAAATTAATTCTAAATAGATTGAAATAAAAAATGAAGTAGTTGATTTTAGATAAAATTTTTAATATATTTAAATGAACATAATTTCTCTATGTAATATAAAATATATGTAAGTTAGGAAAAAAAAATATGCATCTAATTTATAAACATCAAAGGTCATTGGCACTCTCTAAGGGTCCTAGGTGTAGGTAGACAATTAGACCTAGGACTCTTACAGATCTACGATACCTTTTTTTTTTTTTTTTTTTTTTTTATACCACTGAGGTGGCAAACAAGCATACGGCCCACCTGATGGTAAGCGGTACCTACTTACCTAAGATAAATATATAGATATTTAAAAAGATAGTTATATGTAAAAGGAAATTATATGAATATTTACCTAGGACTAAAGTTTTATAGTCAATGTTACTAGAGCGTTGCTTCCTCGCGACAATAGGGTTGGCTGTTTTAAGATTTAAATAAAATTACGAGATACCTACATCTGGACACATGAGTTTTAATATCTAATATATAAAATTCTCGTGTCACGGTGTTTGTTACCAAACTCCTCCGAAACGGCTTTACCGATTTTTATGAAATTTTGCGTGCATATTGGGTAGGTCTGCGAATCGGCCAACATCTATTTTTCATACCCCTCAATAATAAGGGCGACCCACTCCTAAATATATTTTTTTTTAATTTTTTGTAAATTTTTTTAATTTTCGTTTTATTATGATATATTACAAATTCAAATTTTACACTTTTACGATCAAGCCCTGTTGTTTAATCGCAGTTTTTATATGCCGCAATAGATTTACAAGATAGCAGTCGAATATAATAATTGTAGTACGATATATTTTCATGTATAGTTCTAGAAATAATGTATATGGTAAAACAATGTTTGCCGAGTCAGCTAGTTTATTAATATAAAGTTGAAGACATAAGGTTTATTATTATTCTATTGTATTTATTATTCTATTATATCATATCATATTCTAAATACCATGGTGAAAAAGATAACGATATCTATGTTTTTTTTTATGGTGTTGATTGTATTGAAATTGGATTTATTAAATTAAATGTTAGATACACATAATTTTCCATATTGATAATATTTAAATGTATTATTTTTTTTGCACCGCCAACATATAATTTTTCTCTTATTTTTTTTTTTTATAACACAAGGGGCTAACGAGCATGCGACTCACCTGATAATAAGTGTCGCTATGAGGATCCCAATACAAGAAGTACCGCAGGTGCGCTGGCGGCTTTTATCTTATTAAAATAAAATTATATATATAATAAAATTCAATACATTAAAATGATCAATTAATATTTGCCCTCAATTAGATGTTATCAAATACATTTTAATTTTAACCTCGTAATTTAAGTGACAACCCTAAATAGAAATGGGTCGCTCGTCATCGATTCGTTATCACTTTCTTCGGCTCGCCTCCAACTTAAGTGTACGTAATTTAACTTTTGTACACAGCCATTAAAAGATAAATTGACAAACAGTTATTTTTAAAAGATTGTTTTACACTCGTTTGCTGCTTATCGTGGCCAAGTTCTCAGGCACTAATTGTTAAACGGTGTAATGCATGTGGCAAGACGTAAGGGACGCGGTGCCTGCGCTTACGCAACGTAAACTGTAACATTCTTATATAATAGACACATCATTGTGTGTAAATCGTGTCCCTCAGGAAAAGAGTGAGCATATTCGACACGGTAATACTTTTACTTGACTGTAATGGAAAGTTTACTATATATATATATATATGTATGTATATATATATATATATATATATATATATAATATATAACGCGCTATCAAGTGACAAACAAACAAACTCTTACACATATATGTGATATTAGTAACGTCTGGTGACTTACGACTCTAGCTGTCATTGCTCAGAGTACAAGCTCTATAGACGCAGTACTAACGATTCCGATTTGTATGCGACTTTTTTAATAGCATATCAAAGTCTTCTCCGTCACAGTCACAACATTAATTGCCAGTCAAAGATTTTAACATAACAATTATAAATCATTATGGTCATGATTAATCGAGCCGTTGTATTAATTAAACATCAATGTCATTCGCTGATGATTAATGTCTGGAATTAATAAAAAAGAACCTTGCATTTCACGGAATTTTAGATTTAAAACAATTTTCAACATGTTCATCATAATTTATTTATTACTAATTCTATTTCACGGCTTTACATGCGCGAATCAGCATATAAAGGGTCCTATTTGGAATTAACAGAATTTTTCATCGTGCCTCCCACCAAATTGTTTATAATTACTCTCTTCTCTATCCAAAGGAATTGCCTGGAAGAGATCGCTTTTAGCGATAAAGTCGTCCATTGTTTTCACATTGTGATTATTTCTTGTAATTAATTATATTTATAATAAGTTTACTATTGTAATCTTTTGGAGGAAACAATAAAGAGTATCTATCTATTTATTTATTATATTTATTATATATTATTAAACAGACAGCTGTAACAACAGGCTACGGAGAAATGTCCACATTCTTATTCTTCTTTTCAATCTCCTTTTTAATCCAACATGTCCACATTACCTTCAGGAAAGGTTCAAATTTCACGAAATTGATGTTCGCCTGAGATGCAGTAATGACTTCATTATAGATTTGCCTTGTTTTAATACTCAAAGCTATGCCAAGTCAATTACTGTACATGATGCACGTCTCTGGAATTCACTTCCCAAAAACTTAAAGATGGCACAATCACTGAAATCTTTTAAAGCAGGTATCATAAAATTTTATTCTGAAAATCCCTCTTCATTGAGCCAATTGTGCATATATGTATCTATGTATTTGTTATGTATATATGTATGTGTATGTATATATATATATATATATGTATGTGTGTATGTATGTATATATATGTATTTATGAGTGTGAGTTTTTATTTATTTATGTATTAATGTTATATTATTATTCATGTACTTTTATTATTTATATATGTAGGTATATATGTATTATATATTCAATTTTTTTACTGGGTATTATTTAGTTTATCTTTAATTGTCCGGTTATTACCCTTATACATTCTATAGTTTTCTTTCAGCTTCTGAAAGGTTATAAATATTAATAGGACTTTTTTTTCAGTCAATAAGGTTTGCACAAATATATAAATACCGACTTACAACAACAAAAGATCTAATCTACCCGTGCACCAAATTTTATACACATTTCTTTGGTAGTTTTTATATGAAAATGTAACAAATATTACATGCTTTCGCAAATTATAATATTAATAGGATTTTTTTTCAACCGACTTACAAAAGAAAAAGGTACTTAATTTGAGTGTATTTTGGTTATGTTTGTTACCTCATAACTCCGTTAGTTTTAAACCGATTTGGAAAAATATTTTTTTTTATCCGAAAGGATATATTTACTGATTGGTCGTGTAGAAATTTTATTTAAATCAGTTAAGTAGTTTAGTTTTTAATCTAAATTACTTATAAATAACCGGTTTTGCTACGATGGAAGTCAGTTTTTTTCTGAGGCACATAATATTTATTATTTACATAGTATATTAAATAGTAGTCTACGGGAGAGGACTATTTATTTATTTATTTATTTAATTCTTTATTTTACACACCAGTTATTTATAAAAATATGACAGTGGTAATCAAATGTACAAAGGCTAATAGAGTTCTCTTCCAGCAAACCTAAAATAGAAAGGAGCATCAATGTTTAAGGATTATGTTACATACATAGTAAAAAAAAATTGGCTGAGATGATGATAATGAAATAGTATATTTAAGTAATGTTTTAATACTATAAACCGTAGTCGTCCGTAAAGTAACTATGAGACAGACGAATCAATCTTATCCGAGGGATGCTAGTACTTTCGCCCCTTACTACGTTTATATACTTAAGTCAAAGGAAGTTATTGAACTATCCACTGAGATACATACTCGGCCTAGTTTGGTGGCTAGTAGATTTAACTAAATGTAATTTATTATTTAATTATGACAATTATTATTATTATTAATATGCTCGGTGAAATGTGAGTTTATGAATATTAATTTTCCCAAGACGATAATAGTGGACTAGTGCTTCTGACTACCCCATTCGAGATTACAGGCATGTGTATATTTATTTTTAAATATAATTCGTTCATTAACGTATTATCACGTTTCACTACTGATAAAAACGCATGGTTTTTATGTGCATGTACTGTGTAAAGAAAAACAAAGGCTTTTCGCACGGCCCTAGTTCAGAGGTTGGCTTCAACCAGGCACAGTTGAAACCGCGTCGGCAACCAAGCACCACGCACCATTGGTTGTGCTAACCGCGCTCGTAATCAGGTCAAGTGTCGACCGTACAACATGGCCTGTCTTCGTAACAGAAAACTTACCATCTGGTTCCAAGTTAATTTGGTGATTTTACTTACAAATTTGTGTTTAGCCGAACCCCAGTTGGACTTGCCTCCTTTGAGCCAATCGAGTTCTCCGAGATATGGCGGTTACGGACTGCTGTCCAGCACGCAACCCTCAATAAACTCACCGGGTAACCAGTTCGATCAGAACTTCCAATTTTCAACGGCTCGCCCTAACCAAAATACCCCTGGTGTTTATCCCGTATCATCGACACCTTTCAATGGGCAAATCAACCCAGACATAAGTAATAATGGATATCCTAATTTCGGGAATGTTGGGAATCCAAGTTCCACATTACGACCTGTCGATGACAGGAATCGTGACGACAGAATCGATATAAACAATGATCCCAATTTCAGAAGAAACGATCCCAACTTCGTTCGGAACGACCCGAACTTTGTTGGGACGAATCCTTACGAATTCAGTAACAATAATATTGACGAGAGGCTGCATGCTGTAAATCTGCAGCAGATAAGGGACTTCCTGTTGAAAGCTGATGACCAGGCGTCGAAGGAGTGTACCAACAATGTAGCTGCCCAGTGGAACTTCGAGACTGACGTCAACGATGCAACTCAGCATGCTGCAGTAAGTCTGAAAAAATACTTTTATCATTTCTTTTTGCAATCTATAGAGAGTGGACAATAATTATATGATTTGAGAGTCCTTACTAATATTATAAATGTGAAAGTGAGTTTGTTTGTTACCTTATAGTGCCTTAACAACTTAATCATCTATAAGGGGTGGCAGAGTATATAGGCTACTTTTTCAGTAAACATATCTCGGTCACGCGGACGAAGTCGCGGGTAAAAGTTAGTATTCTAATATTTATAATTACTTGTAGTAGTACTGTTGACGTTGTAATATTTTGATGATAGTTGCTATAAATCTTTTTATTTTTGGCAATTAATATTTTCATTCTTTTTTCCTTGCAATAACATTTAATTACATTTATAATATTAAAAATATTTAACACAAATACTAATTACATATTTTTTTTAAAAAATTGACGCAGTCATGAAAATTAGTTGAGTCGATAAGTGGTTTATTCGGTATTCCTACCAGACAAAACCTAACGATAATATGTTAGTATCCTTGTCCTAATAACCTACTTTTCCAAAAGAGATGAATTTACATGCTTACGATACTCACAGCTAACTTAGATTTAAATGTTACAGAGACATAACACCGGGGGGAAAGGGATTGTTAACAATAGATTTTGACAGCCCCATTGCTAGCAATATTAGGTCGACTTCCACGTGGTTCCCCCTGGAAACCATCGTGAATAATTCTTGTTGAATTCGTCACAATGGGTTGACTGACTTGTTTCATCCTCACCTATCATCATTCACTGGTGCCCCGCCGGTGTATACCGATAATGCGGGTGGGGTTGTCATTCCATTATCACCCATAAAAACACTATAGTCCTCATGAATGACAACACATGGACGGTACCATAGATAATATATAGCATTCTATGTCGTCCACGTTGCTATTCATGTCTATAGGTGACGGTTACTACTTTCCATCAGGTGGGCCGTCAGCTTGCTTGCCATTTTAAACTGCATAAACTAACTTCACCAATTTTTTTGTATGATAAATTTGAGCGGGTTTGACCAGATATTAAGGGTTCAAACACGTAACATGTTAGTCGTCAAAAATGGTAATATATAAGTTTTACGATAGGCCGCCTGGTTTCGCCATAGAATGGATCACCCCTTCTTTTTTCGTAGATATCGTAAGAGGCAACTAAAGGTTAATGGTCGAGAAATAGCAGTTTTCTTTTTAAAATATCACCAGAAGCATAACTGCGGATGCCAACCTGCCTGTCAAGCGTGGCAACTACTGGCAACTCCCCAGAGGGAAAAGGGGGGGCTTTAAAGGCGAGGCCTATGTTTACCAATAGTCAGTTAACAGCTGGTATAATAATGATGATGTTCATCGTAGTGTATACGTATCCATACATCAAGCTGTAAATGGCCGAAACGGTCCGTGTGGTCCCGGCATAGAATAGGCCACCCCTTTCCCGTGTGTGTCGTAAAAGTCGACTAAACGAGGGCGAGAGATGGGCAGCAGCGTCCCTCAAAAAACATCTCTAAAGCCTAACTGCGGTTGCTAATTCGCCTTCCAAGCGTGGCAACTACTGGCAAAACCCCCCAAGGGGGATTAAATTTAGCAGTGGACAGTTAAAGGCTGACATGATGATAATACACGAAACCGAATTTATAAAATATTAAATTAATTTATTTTATTTAATATTTATAAAATATTAAATACATTTATATATAAAATTACTGTGATTACTAGCAGCTAAATTCAAACTATAAACATGTAATTCTCACAACTATTGTTAACGGCCACGTCATATAATATAAAAAGCTACCTGCATTGTTTATTTGATACCGATCTCGTGTACTCGCTGCGATTAGACTGTAATGACTCCACTATGGCACTGTACCATAATTATTTGTGCAGCTAATAAGAGGGTTTGAGGTTATTTCTGGTGGCAGTTTAATATTTTTTTACAATAAAAAAAAAAAAAAACTTTAAATTAATTATTTTAGGAATGGCAACGCATGGGGGGTATCATGGGCGAAACAGTATACTCTGTTATGTCCATGTTACTGCTCATGTCTATAGGCGACGGTTACCACTTTACATCAGGTGGGCCGTCAGCTTGTTTGCCATTCTAAGTTGTATAAAAAAAAAAACCATCAGTTGTTATTTTTCTCAATTCATAGCAGACTTGTGTATAGAAAATAAAATAATTATAAAACTACGTCACTTTATTATATTGTACTAGTGAAATACTCAGACACGTACACGCATTGGAAAGTTTCCGGGTGTGCGCAAGATTCCCACAAGCGTAGAACAATGTACGCGATTTCAATTGACATAAGTACACGCTTCCTCGCGATATGAAACTGTCTCCGTCGCTTTTTGCTCGAAGAGAGTCGGTATTGTACCATAGACTGTCTAATTGTACCCCACTTGTTGTACTGAGTGAATATTTGTCACAACTGTCATTAATAGAAAATGGTTATTGTGTTTCAAACGGAGCCACAATAATAAAGTTTAAAAGTATTTTACTGAAATAAGTGCCATCTTGCCGAAGCTGATCGGATTGATACCTGCTGCTGATTTTCACCACCGTACAACCCGCCACAAACTAAAGTTTCATCCCAATCATCTGGACGAGTGGCGGTCTTCCACTGTGCGTTTTTCAAGGCACTTTCTTCCACGCACAACCATTTTTTGTAATCAACTTCCAGCAGCAGTGTTTCCGAACCGATACGACAACATAACCTTCAAGAAAAGAGTATATTCCTTTTTAAAAGGCCGGCAGCATACCTGCAATGCCGCTGGTGTTGTGGGTGATCATGGGCGGCGGTAGTCACTTACCATCAGGTGAGCCGGATGCTCGTTTGCCCCCTGTGTTGCAAAAAAAAAGCTCATATCATTAGTTATTTGATTAGAATTATTTTGTAAACACTAGTCTCCGAGTAGCGATCTAATAATTTGCCTGATGATGCCTCGTTTAAAGGTGAAACACGTGTCGCAAAACGTGCGTGAACAAAATGACAGTCGGAGTACAATGGCAAATATAATAAGGTTGGGGAACTTCTGGCAGTAATGGTGGTGGTCAATCTTCAAGTGTTGGCAATCACACATATACTAATGTTAGCGAAATTAAACAAAATACTTTTAATCAAATAAACAATGAAAAAAGTTTAAAATAAATAGGACTTAATTTCGTAAAAAAAAATGAATATATTTTAATCCACAAAAAAAAATCAACTTCACTCGTAGTAATACCTGTTATCTTAATCTAAAAACCAAATTATAGAGCCAATTTTGATAAAATTTTTATAGTATCCATTTGAAAATATGAAGAGAAAGAAAGAATTGTCCAATCCATTTGTTGTGCAAATAAAAAAAGTTCTCTTTTTCTTAAAGTCATTTGACTAAATTAATATGTAACCTAAAATCACTAATTTTATTTATATATTAGTAATAGAAAAACCGATACGGTTAGAGCAGGTTTTTTTTATGCAAGTTAGAATTGCAAACAAGCTAACGACCCACCTGATGGAAAGTGTTAACCGTTGCCTTTAGACATGAACAGTACCATGGACATAACAGAGTAAATCGTTTCGCCCATGATACCCCCCATGCGTTGCCATTCCTGAGGACTCAGGTGTTGTTCCTCTGTACTCTGTAAATTCACTGCCATACCCCACCTTTCAAACTGAAACACAGTCATACAAATACAACTGCTTTACGGTAGAAACACGAATGGGACAGAGGTACCCAAGCAATCGACTTTTGTACAAAATATAAAATATGAGTACAATTATTTCTATAGGGTAATATTTTTATCCTTTGTCTCACAAATAAAGGCATTAGCAATGTAGAGCAAAAACTAATATATTTAATTATTCGCCGTGCGCATGAGTTTGCATAGATTCATATCTAGCTCGATTATGGTGTTTCTTGTTACATACGATATGACACCATAATACGTGGGAACGTATTATGAATGTGTAACTAAACCGAGATAGATCCTTAACGTTTTTATTGATTGTTTTTTTTTCAATTAATTGCCTTAGTGACAAAACTGCCGTGTCGTGGGCATCACAGTAAATTATCTGCAACATATATGGTGTTTTTTTTATTAATTTATTATTTATTGACCCCATTACAAAAAAAAATGTCTGGTACAATAGGCGGTCTTAATACTATATAGCATTCTCTTCCAGTCAACTTTTGGCAAAATAGAAATTTAATTATGCGGAAAAAATATTGAAAATTGAAAAGTATTCATGTCTATAGGTGAGAATTACCATTTCCCATCAGGCGGGCCGTCAGCCTGTTTGCCATTGGCAGTATCATAAAATAATTGTATTCCAATAACAACAATACAATTTTACAAACAAAAGTTGAATTGATGGTATTGAACGCAATTGTAATACGTATCCTGACACCTGCCCCAGAACTAATTACAAATAACCAATCCACCATAAAGGTTAGCATGATTAGTTAATTTTACTTACAAAACGTTTGTAACACCATTGTTCGGCGACAATGGACGCAACGACGGACGTCGGGGCGCTAATAGACAATGCGTCCGGCAGAAATTGATTTTGGGACGCCCAGTTCAAAGTATATTTAGATTTGATTTGTTTCAACTAAAAAATCGATATTTTAAATATAAAGAGGGAAATAGAAATCATTAATATACATTTTACAATATTTGAACACAGCCATGAACTGCGCTCATGAATAAAGGCTTCTATTAAGTTCGGAACTAGTTGGGTATCCCCGATTTTAAAAAATGTACACAATCTTGTTTTCTCATATTTTAATTAGACGTGAGCGAAACAGTATACTCTGTTATGTCTATGGTACTGCACATGTCTGTAGGCGACGGTTACCACTTTCCATCAGGTGGGCCGTCAGTTTGTTTGCCATTCTAAGTTGTATAAAAAAAAAATAAAAAAAAGTGGGGGAGGAGATTTTTAGTAATAGTCCTATTAGTAATAATATATTCTATTGAGTAAACCTCCCTGTGGTCCCACTAAAACTAT